TTCAGCAAAACTCGTATAGTGGATAATTGCTCTTCTATAAGTTTTGTGAGGATTCAGATAAGATGTTGTTAAAAATTTCATTTAAGGGTTTCTGTAGCTTTGCACATCTGGTAGATTGGGAACTGGTTTTGGAACAGTGTCTGCCCATGGTGCTAACCGATGAAAGTTCTGTACCTGTTGACGAGACGATGCATCTGCCAATACATATTTTGAACCATATATGTGTTTTGCCTTAAAGTTTCACAAGCAGTGTAGAACTAGTCTCCTTATTAGGAACATAATTAACGCATCTTTTGATGTTTGTTTATTAATTACAGACACTAAAGCTATATTGTCTGTATGAAAATATATGCACTGGTTTTCCAAACGGTGGCCCCATATTTCAACTGCCAATACTATGGGATATAGCTCTAAAAAGGCAATATTTTATTTTTGCCATTTTGTGTCCCATTTGCCTAAGAACCACTGTGAACCAAACAAAGCACTATAATCGTATGTACCAGAGGCATCTGTAAACAAATGTAGCTGATCAGATGTTAACCAACGTTCTGATAAAATCAATGACTTCCCATTAAAATTCTTTAAAAAATTTTGCCATGTATTTAGATCTTGCTTAACTGATTTTGTCATTCGTATTGTATGAAAGGATTTTTTTACCCCAATTGTTAAGTCTATTAGTCTTTTCAGAAATGCCCTTCCTTGGATGACAACTGCACAAGCAAAGTTGAGTGTACCAAAGATAGATAGAAATTCCCTCAATGTAATTTTTTCTTTTTGTAACACTACGGTTAAAAGATTGTGACATTTATCAAGCTTATCAATGGAAAGTCTAACTTCCATCAACCTAGTGTCTATTTCGTAACCAACAAAACTCATAACCTGATGTCTGGAATGTCTTTTCCTTAGAAATTGGTATACCCATATCTTTACAAATTGCAAGAAAACGTTCTAATTTTTTCTTACACCCATCTTCGGTTTTGTCTTCTATCATAAAATCATCTAAAATATGCACTATGTTTGGAATACGTACTTTATTTTTTGCGATCCATTCAATGGCTGTGCTAAAATTTTCAAAAAATTTGACAACTAGAACTTCAACCCATTTGCAGATTTTTATCGTAATAGTATTTCCCCTCCCACATGAAGCCAAATAGTTTGTATTGTGATTCTTTTATGTATGTTTATAATTCGAAATGCACTGGATATGTCGGTTTTTGCACAAAAACGTGTTCTTCCTACGGACTTAATCAGTTCTATTGCCTCTTGGATGGAAGCATACTGTACACTGGATTTGTCTTGTGGTATGTTGTCATTGATTGATGATCCTTCAGGGAAAGATAAGTGGTGGACCATTCTATATGTCCCAGGCATTTTCTTTTCTGCTAGTCCCAAAGGGGATAATTGCATTTCTGTAAAAGGTTTTGAATCAAAAGGGCCAACAAATCTATTTGCATTAATTTCATTTTGAATTTTTTGTCTAACAATATCAGGTTTAGTCTTTGCTGATAATAAATTATCGACTGTATTATGATGAACAGAACCTCTGAATCCCACATCGAACCCATATTTAAACCCGTTAACTAAGTAATTGTACATTTCAATATTATATCCTTTTAACCAATATCCAAGCCTATCAACTTTAACCGGTGTATTGCTATTAGAAATATAGTTAACATCATTTTCTGGTTGGGACAGTTTGTTATGTCCTTCGGGAAGAGGTGTCGTCTCTGTTAATAGATAGGGAGGGTCCCCGAAAGGGCTGGTTATTCCCGCCTTGTATCTTTTTTGAGTTATTACTGGTTTGTGTGAACTTATAAGGGAGCCGAACTGGTTTTTTGCATGTTGAGAATGAGTGGTTGAAACCGCAATTGAAACATCTGTGTTGAAATTTGCATTTATCACCAAACTTACAACCTAAACCCTTATGAGATAAAAAAACATACTCCAACTGGCCAGCGAGTATTGCCACCTTTTTTGTTGTCATTCCCAGATTTAACATTAGCTTGCAATTTTGCTCTGAGATAGTTCCAGGTCTGTACTCCCCCATTGTGCTTCTCCTCTTCCTAGTAGTTTCCTAAGTTCGATACCGTAAAATTGCCAGTTCCCCCCTTCTCTTGACATTTCCAGGATTATTTCCATATGGTGGGGGATTACAGGCCCTAATTCAGGGTTTTAGTACAAATTATTGCTGTAAATTTATTCCAGGCTGATAGCCATTGGTTTAAGGTTAATGTTTTCTTGTTACGCTCTTCTGTAATGGACAGTTCGGGTTGTCGGTCCCTTGAACAAGTTGTAATCTGTATTTGGTCTCGTCATTTTGAAAGAGGGAATGAAAGTCGATGTACTTTCCCGCCCATATTTGTTGTTTTATTTTATCCGGTATATTTCCCCCTGTTTTGAGGGAGCAACTGACAAAGGCTGATTGCCCCCCAACAATTTGTTTATCAACAGTTGGTTGTACAGCCAGAACCTCTGGGCTGACAACCACATCGTTATTGTCATGGTTTTGCTCTCCATTACATGTACCTTGGATGTTTCTGTTCAGAGTGTTCACGTGATGTTGGACCTCAGCCTCCTGAACATCTGAATTGCCATTATTTCCTTTTGAAGTTATCTTGTCAAAAATTTCCTCCATCCTCCTTTCCATTCAGCTAGCTACCCTTTCGGTTACCCTATTGGTCAACTCCTCAATGACATCTTGATATAACTTTTGCATTATTTGGGGGATGGAAGGCCTACTTGGTATAGCGGTTGATATTTTCTTCCTCGTGGTGGCCGTCTTCATTTTCTTTATGGCACCTGCCACTCCATACAAGGATTGTCTTTTTTGGAGGCATTGTCTGAAATATACTAATGCAAACTAAATACAGTACTTTCAATTATAATAATTTTTAATTAGGACTATTTGTTTTATTGAATTTGTTTTTCTTTGTATTTAACCTTGATTATTCATGTTCACCTTATTTGAATAATTTAATCTGGACGATCCTCAACCATTAAAATTGTTTTGTTTGTGTTCATTATTATTTGAAATATTACCAGTTTCTGCCGTAAAATTTTACCTTTTGGTAACTAAATATTTTGTTTTAGCAACAACGTTCAGTTCAAACCTACGCAATGTATCGTTACTGTTTACATGACCTACATAAGTCATTAGTATAAAAGTCAAGTACGATAATAATGTGATATTTAATATGATATCGATCGACAAACAGTAACATAGGGGTACCTACTACTTGAACCATGATTATTCTTCTTAATCCCAATAATTTTGATTGTCATTCTGTTGCGATTATCCACCGGAAGTTTTCCAAAGATTACAAAATTTATGAGAACGGTTTAGATACGTGTTATTTTCCGTTTTCTAAGTTGATCTCTTTGCAGGCATTGATAACTGCTCCTCGTATTGACTTGTATAAATGTTATTGACCTTTCGTATTTAGATGTACTCCATCGGAAATAAATTTATCTTTGCATGAATTTTTGTTTGTGGTGTCAAAAGAAAATTGTTTGTTATGATCCCAAAAGATAAATTTCGATGATTTTTCAACCTCGTTTTTTATTATTTTAATTATTTCTTGTGCTTTTTCGAAATACATATTCTTGTATGCCCTATCTCGGACACTTGTACTGTCCCGATTGTATCCATCTTTCTTAAGTCTGAAATTATCCCGTGGGAAGCGTGGCATGATGGCACATAATACTACTCGTCGAACTCCATACGTATTTGTAAGTATCGAACAGAAACTTATCAGTTTATATGCCACTTCCTCAACAGACGTGTCTTCTACAATATCGTTACCACCAGCTATGAGAATAACACATTCGGGTTTTTTAATTTTAACTATGCCCATGTCGAACTTTATCATTTTATGAATAGTTCTTCCTCCTACGCCATGCCACTCGACGGTGTGAAGTTTTTGCAAAATTGAAGTCTAATTGGTGTCTACGATCTTTTTCTGATTTCAGGTAATTGTGAAGCCGATGGCAAATGGAATGACCTAGTATAAGTGTGTTTAAAGGCATGCATAGATTAAAATATTTTATTAAATTGAGTGTCACCAAATTTCTGTACGTGTTCTTCCTTCGGCAGCTATTTGAAAAAGAGGCTGCATATTAAAACATGTGCTTGAAGTAGCGCCCCCATATCAATTACCAAATTCCAAAGAGTTTCAAGTCAGATCAGCACCTATGTACTGTACAAAACTATTTTCTACATATTTCTAACATTTACAAAACATGATATCAAAAGACTTAATACAATTAAAAGTTAAAAGATCTTTCATTGTACCATAAAGTCACTTATGCTGCACATAAGTGTATTTACGTGGACAAATTATTACCACGTGTGATTGATAACTGAATCTACTTTTGAGTACTGCACTCTTTAATAAGAACTTTTCAAATCGCATACAGTTTTAAAGGTGGTGATTAAACGTGTCACTGAATATGCATATGCATCACCCGCAATTAAATGCGACTGTCATACATGTGAGAGGTTTAGCTATCTATAAAACCAGGTTCAATCCACCATTTTCTACATAAGAAAATGTCTACAGTTACAAAGTCAGGAATATGACAGTTGTTATTCATTCGTTTGATGTGTTTGAGCTTTTGATTTTGCCAATTGATTAGGGACTTTCATTCAGTTCAGTATTTTTGTGATTTTACTTTTTAGTACTTAATTCCATTTTTCCTGACAAAACAATCTAAGACATCATTGGACATTTATTAACTGGCCATGAGGAGAAATTGATAATTCTATACAGAGAGTAAGGGAAAACAGTTGCTTCCGATTAATAGTTTTAATTAACGGGATACGCATTGAATTTTAGGAAACTATTCAGACAAATTCTCAAATTCGTAAACATTTAATCGTCTATATTTCTATAAAGATGATACTTACTATATGGGTTATCTGTCGACTAGTGTACAAAACACTATTGTGAATGTTCAATTGTGCGTGATAAAGATTTTACACATCTGACAAAGCCTTTATATATTTAGATATTTGAGGTAAATGTACATTTAAGGAGTGAGCATTTAACTTCTATTTTAGCAGGTATTTATATTTTCTATATGTATATTGAGAGTATTTTTCAATCATATGAAGTTGATTCTGTATATCCGAAGATGAAGAAAAGGAAGAAGAAGAAGGTAGATTTCTACTTAATAAATATAGAAATATATCAAATTGTTATACATAAATTTAAATAGAACACAATTTTTCTATATGCATATTTGTACAATCAAGTAGTTGTGTTAAGCTTTCTAAATGCATATATGTGGTATCTGCATGCTAAATATAATTTATTTCTGCTTTCGATTTCGTTATCATTTTTTTTTATATCAGTTCATCGTATTTAATGTAAGAACACACAGCTTGGATCGAAGTTTGATACATATATCATGTATATGTTTAGAACTAATTATGATATTGCGATTTTCTTTTGCTTTATTTATAACTATTAGAATATTCTTTAAAATTTTGTATTGGTCAAAATGAAATTTTCTAAAAACACTTAAATCAGGTTACTTAATGTGTAAAGTTAACCTATTATTTATGAAATGAAGTAATGTAGTTAATTGAATTTCCGAAAATTGGTATTCACGCGGTTTTTTAAAAAGGATTTAAAAAAATATCGTAAAATAGATCAACCTTAAGTTGTAAAACTAAAGTAGGATGTTATATATTTGTATCAATTTCTTAAAAATGAAGTAATACGAAATCAGTGGTAGGTATTTTTTTATACAGCTCTGTTAACTAATGTGACAATCCTATGTATGACACTCCTATGTATCTGCAAGTCAATAGATCGGGTTACATATACCAATAAAGATACATTATCATACCTTGTAGATAAAAATTATAAAATCATTATCATAATGTTAAAAGAGATAATCGCTTTTCCAAGCAACTTGTATTTGATTTTGTTGGTGCTATACTGATTGCCGAGGGTGAATAAATACTTAGCACATATGTGGAACTATGTGAGTGACCACCATCAAGTTAACTCTCTTCCAATCCAGTGCGACAGTACATATTTTTAACTGATATCGATGAACAAGTGTTTTTATGTTCAGTAGTTGTCGTTTGTAAGATGCGGTTCATTAGTGTTTCTCGTTTTTTTATATAGATTAGACTGTTGGATTTCCCGTTTGAATGGTTTTACACTAGTAACGTTTTAGGGCCCCTTATAGGTTGCTGTTCGGTGTGAACCAAGGCTTATTGTTGAAGACCGAACCTTGACCTATAATGGTTTACTTTATAAATTGTGACTTGGATGGAGAGTTGTCTCATTGGCACTCATACCACATCTTCCTTTATCTATATAGTTGATTCCTGATAGCAAAGTAATTTCATTTTAAGGCGATCATATACCTGTCATGATCACCGGTTTGTTCTTATTCATAAGATTACAATGCACACATATTCCAATTTGAAAATCACCCAGCTCTGTTCAAATGCAACTGTATGTAGAATTGTGAATTAATTTGATTGGAATATTGGATTATTCGAAGTTCTGAAAAAGCTTCTGCATAGCATTATTGTTCATTAAATGTATTTATGAATGACCCAAAAGCAGAGACAATTACACCAATTCGCGAGTACGTTAAGGCAGTTTTTCGATTTTTTTCCCGGAGTTTTTACCAAGCGCAGATAACTCTATTTTCCTCATTATTATTCGTGACGTCATCAGATAAATTTTGGCGTCACAAGGCTACATTTGTTAGTAGCACTTATTTAGATGCCCAATTGTAAATAAAAATATTGAAATATGATGCAATTATATCATAATGACTCATATTTAACCTCATATTCAAAGATTTACGTAAAGTGTATTAAATTTAGCCGTTTTTTTATCGCGGATTAGGCCCCGCCTACTTTTATTAAACGACCAATCAAAATGTTGTCGGGGTCGTAAAGATGCTTGCAGTATGAATGAGTCGAGCACCTGTCTGGGTTTTCAACAGAAAGGAATGTTCATGTCTAAACGTGAAATTTGCTGTAGTTTTGTAGTTTATCTGGCAGACAAGTCAGTGTGGAAAGCAAGAATGATCATTTTCAATAGGTAAGTTGTAATTCAAGCAACAAATACTCGTATTTACTTAGAATTAGTCGCAGAATGTCAATTTTAACGGGCAACCACGTGTGAATTACCATGCTGTCGCCAGATTAATCATCCGGCGACAAACTGTCTCTTAGATATGATTGATTCCAATGAATAAGTAGTATTATTGAGCGTGAAGTATTTGAGAGACCCCTTCTTGTGGCATTAGTCCCGGACTTCGATGGCGATGGCGATGACATGTGTTATGTCTCAGTGGCGGATCCAGAAATTTTCATAAGTGGGGGCCTACTGACTGCCTAAGAGGGGGCCCGCTCCGGTCATGCTTCAGTGATTCTGTATATAATCACCCAAATTTTATTCAGAAAAGAGGGCCCCCTGCCCCCCTCCCCCCCTAAATCCCCCTCTGTGTCTTATGATCTGTTATGTGATGTTTAGAAAACATGCACTTGTTTCTGTCAATTGGGGGTTTAACTATCCACACTCGTACGAAAAATCACTAAATCTCGGACGAGTGTGGATAGAAACCCCTCCCCATTGACAGAAAACAAGTGCCTGATACATAAAACGATATGTGATATGTCCACATGACTTGAACATGTATATTGTTGAATGAAAATCAATGCATACTTCTCATTTTTTTACAAGTTTTCTAACCAGTAAATAACTACCATTACCATATAGTCTGCTTTGTACACGGTGATTGAATTTTCCGCTGGAATAGGCAGTCTGCACTAAAAACTTCTCCGACTAGTAAGGAGTAAGAAGACCAGTATTGCCACATTTTTGTTATGTGTCTAAGCAAAGGTTTTCAAAAATTTACTAGTCCGAATGAAATTTTACTATATTCTAGGGCATCGGACTAGTGGCTAACGGTCCAGACTAAATAGGTGTGGAAAACTATCAGAAATATATATGAATTAAGGTCATTATAGTTCCAATTACTTGTACATGTATATATATGAAAAGCCCTGTCATTTTTCTCAGCCAAAAGTCTCGCTGTAAGTAATCATTACTGCAGAATCTTAGCCCTAAATATTCCACTCGAAGGCTGGTGTAACAGAATCTCAGCGGCACACCTCATCAATTAAGTATTGTAGTGGTCGCCTCGAGGGAAAAGATGGGTTTTTCTTATTATTGACTTATGAAGGCCATGCGGTGAGAGATATTTGCCTCATTGGCGGTCATACACCATCTCCTTATTTTTCCATATAGTCTAATTGCTACCTTTTTTTATATGATATAATATATTATCTGTTCTGTAAATAAGGAAGGGTGCTTATCGCTACAATCCATCAAAGTACATGTAGCTTAAGACATGTAAGAGAGGAAATTATTGCACATGCTGATAAAAAGTAGTACATTCCCCAGTGATCAAGCAGCTTTTGAGCAATCTCTTTGTCTGCTAACAGATTCTCCCTGTTCTCCTTTCCATCATCTTGTGTAGTCTCTTCTTTCAGGGCAAAATAACTCTTGCTGACCTCAATCTGTAGCTTAGAGAAAGATTGATCAAAAGCCGATATAAAGGACTTATGACCAGGGTGTTTTAGCTTCAATTCCCTGTACTTAAGACAGTCATCCACATTTGATGATGGGCCAAGTAGTTGGACAACCATGTCTAGTGTTGATTTCTTTCTACATGATGATGAAGCATAAAACAAGTATGTATTTAGCATATTATAAAGAGTTTTCCCCATCATTTGGTCTCACTGGCAGTTTTAGATTATTTTTTTCTTCAATTCCTTCAAACTTAAAAAAATAGCTACATTGAAAACTATGTTTTGTTCCAAAAATATCTGATGCTGCATACAGTCATGACTGATTGATTTAAAACTATAATAAAAATAATCTTTGAAAATTTCATATAAACATTTGATTTATGACACTTCTGAAATTTCATTTCACATCTTTATATGCTCTATTAAACTTGTAATAATATATACTTATCATTCTAATACTCACCAATTTCTTGTTTGGAAACTTCAGACGCGAATAGTTTCCTCTTGCATGCAAGTGGTTTCTTTGCCCTGTTAGCTGAAATCGAAAGTTTTGTTTTGAAAAAGGAGTTGTGAACAGCAAAATAACAACAAAAAGAAGAAAAAAATTATCCTCTTTAAATTCCGCCAATATTAAGAATGAGAATCTGAAGATTCTGTAAATACCTGGTAATTTGTTTGGTTTGTTGAACAGACTCTCATGGACATCAATTTTGCTACATGTAGGTTGTACAGTCCATCTTGAAACTGGAAAAAAAAAACAGATGATCATCTGAATAATGTCAGTTAATTTCTTTTTTACTCCCTGCTAAAACATTTTAATAAATCTGTAGCTTGCATGAATCATTTCGTAAATTACCGCTAGAAAAAATGTGATTAATTCTTTTAATTCTCAAACCCAAAATTTCCCATTTCTAATTTACATGTTTTTCTCGTAAGCTACCGTCAAATCCAAGGTTGACATTTCGTACATAAAGAGCTGCCATGTTGACTTGCTGAAATTAGTAAATATGCGAATAATGCAACAGAATAGAAAATAAAACAACCCCTACCCCAAAAATTCATTTTTAATATAATATTATACGAATTTCGATGCTTCGCGTAACTGAAAAACCTTCAGCTTTAACGTTTTCATTTGTATGACGTCATGTTTTTAAAATGACTTAAACGCGTCAAAAGCATTAATGGACTTTCGCGGAATTTTAGATATTCTGATTTTGTAGATTTCTCCGAGCTCTTGTGCATAAATTCTTTTTGTTATGCATCCGAATAAGAATAAAAGTTCAGTTCTTTGTTTTCAATTACAACTTTTAAAACAATAAAATCGGCACATCGTTTGCAAATAGGTTCCGATACATGTGGATTTACGTGGGAGGTATATTGTAACATCCATTATTATGTATATCTCTGAGCCTGCGCTAAGTACAGATATATCCATAATTTTATCACGGTGTTGCTTACAAAGCGAAAGAAGCACGTCCTATTAGAATTACCTT